TTCCGATTATTGCCAAATAATCAAAACCACGGCGGACAGCTTGGCCGATGTCGAAAATTCAATCTCCGACAAACAACTCGTCCTACAAACCCTACACAGCCTACCAAAAAATTACGGGACCGTCGCCAATCTCATCTCCTTTCAGAATCCCCTTCCCACTTTTCTACAGACTCGGTCGCTTCTTCAGTTGGAAGAAACAAGACTTGCTGAACCTGAGCAGACCACTGCTGTTTTCTACGCGTCCAACGCGAATTGTCCATCCAACAGTTGTAACAGTTCCTGCAACAGTTCCCGCGGAGGTGGTTCTTCGTGCTATCAGCGCGGGGGTGGTCGATCCAACCATCGCGGAGGTCGCGGCACTAACCGTCACCCCATGCAGCACTACGGCTACCATAGTGCTCATGGCGCATCTCAACTATAGCACGTACCTTACCGACAACCGTCGTTCCCGTCAATTCTGGAATCCGCTCCAAATACATCGGGCCACCCATCCACTCCAGCGGCTCAAGCCTACGTTACTGGACCACCCGAACCCTACACTGGCTACTCGGCCCCTACTCAGGTTCATCCGCACCAGCATCCATGCCACAGCTCTAACAGTTCCATCAACAGTTGCAACAGTTCATGCAACAGTGCCAACGTGATGGATCTAGAAAACCGTTTGAATACGGTGACACTTCAGCAGCCTACCGAGTCACAGTGGTTCATAGACAGCGGGACGACCTCTCATATGGCACCACACTCAGGTAATTTCAATTTTGTTTTTAATCCTAGCAGTAATTTCCCCAAACATGTCGTCGTCGGTAATGGTTCCACCCTCCCAATTCTATGTCACACCCAATATCATCAAACACCTTATCTCTGTTCGAAAGTTCACCCGCGATAACTCATGTTCGGTGGAATTTGACCCATTTGGTTTTTCTGTGAAGGATCTTCGGAGTCGAGTCGAGATTTTCAGGTGCAATAGCTCCGATGACCTATATCCATTTGGCGTCCCTCCTCCAACCTCACCTCCCGCTACTTTTCTCACTGTCGCAACACCTTCGTCTCACACTCTTTGGCATCGGCGTCTAGGCCATCCCGACAAACACGTCATGTCCCGTTTATTTTCTAGCACTTTTCTTTCACATAATAAAGACCATAGGGAGTCTCTTTGTAATGCCTGTCAATTAGGCAAACATTTTCGTCTACCATTTATTTCTCAAAAATCTACTATTGTTGTTCCATTTCAAATTATTCATGCTGGTTTATGGACTTCTCCTATCTCTAGTCTTACGTGTTTCAAATACTATCTTGTGTTAGTTGATGATTTTAATTTTTACCCATTATTTATGGATTTTTCCTCTTCGAAATAAATTTGACGTTTTACAACCTTTTTCAATTTTCATACTCTTCTCAAAACTCAATTCCATCATCCTCTCAAAGCCTTACAACGTGATAAGGGTCGTGAATTAAAAAATGCGGATTTTCAAAACTACTTCACTAAACACGGCATCCTAAATCGTTTTTCGTGTCCCCACACCTCCCCTCAAAACGGACACGCAGAACGAATGATCCACACTATAACCAACATGATTCGATCCCTCATCTTTCAAGCTCATCTTCCTCCTACTTATTGGGTCAAAGCCCTTCATATGGCCACCCACCTACTAAATATCTTACCTACCAAAACCACACAAAACCGGACCCCTCACGAAGCCCTTTACCTCAACAAACCTACATACTCTCATCTTCGAGTATTCGACTGTCTCTATTATCTCAACCTCACCGCCACCACACCACATAAACTCGCCCCCCCTTCTACTCCTTGTGTCTATCTCGGTCACCCTTCCTCTCACAAAGGATATCGTTGCCTTGATAGATCCACTGGCCGAATCATAATTTCTCGCCTTGATATCGTTACCTTCGACGAAACTCACTTTCCTTTTGCTGAGTCAACTCCCCCCACACACACACTTTCTACATCTACCTTGGACGAAAGCACACCCTCCATGTTCCTCCTCCCTCAGACTTCGTCTAACTGTTGCAACAGTGCATCCAACTGTTCCAACAGTGAACCACCATGTTCCAACAATTCGTCCAACAGTCCTATAACACAGCCAACACCTGTTTCACCTGCAGAACCACCTCTCGACCACGACCAGCTCACAACCCCTTCTCATACTCCCACGTCTCCTTCTCCTACTCCCACACCTCCCCTGCTCACCCTATGGTGACTAGCAGTAAAGCGGGAATCCACAAACCCAAAGTCCCCTTCTCTCTAGTTGCGTCCTCTACCTCTTCCATTCCCACCAACTATCGCCAAACTCTTCTTAACCAAAATTGGCGAAACGCCGTGATTGAGGACTATAATGCTTTAATTAAAAATAATACTTGGAATGTTGTGCCCCGCCCCCCGTTCACTAATGTTATTTCTGGTAAGTGGATATACAACTTGAAACTCAAGTCTGATGGCTCCCTTGAGCGATACAAAGCACGGTGGGTTGTTCGCTGTTTTCACTAACAGGCTGACATCGATTTTGACGAGAATTTTAGCCCAATTGTCAAACCAGCCACTGTTCGAACCGTTCTCAGTAATGCGCTCTCACGATCATGGCCAATCCACCAGTTTGATGTGAAAAATGCATTCTTACATGGCAATCTCTCTGAAACTGTCTACTGCGAGCAACCTCCCGGATTCGTCGATCCATCTCGCCCCACTCACGTGTGTCGTCTCAACAAAGCACTCTACGGTCTCAAGCATGCACCACGTGCTTGGTATAAGCGTTTTGCCTCTCACATTACTACCATGGGGTTCAGAGAATCCAAGTCCGACACTTCACTCTTTGTGTACTGTCGCATCAATTCACGCGACTGGGCTATTTCTCTCTCAATGCAAGTACGCCGACGAGATACTAGAGCATGCACACATGGTTTCCTGCAACCCTTGTCTTACGCCGGCTGACATAAATTGTTGGGAATCGGACACGTGTACGCAACGAAAAACAAAAAAATTATGCGATTTAAATAAATTTAAAACACATAAACACATGCCCGATAATTGAAAACAATTAATTGCGTACCTTTGCGCTTCCAGCGAAATTAAAAACAACATACATGCTTAATTACTTAATCGAAATTAAATCAATTAGCATGCTCGCGTTTAAATCAAATAATCATGCTCGCAGTAATTTAAACAATTTCATGTAGTCACATAAAATCATACAAGTTTGCTTACTAACGAACATGCATATTTAATTTAAATGAAAACTACTCGATTAAACACGGATTCAAATTATTACCTCTTGAAGCGTGAGGTAGGCGCACGAGCCGAAGCAAGATTGCCACGGAAACCAATCCGTGCAATCTGAGGCAGCAACGGCGATGCAGCGACGGCGATGATCCGAGCTACGGCGGTGGGTATGATTCACGCGCTGTCCTTGAAGCGTGAATCGAAAGAAGACTCGAGAAGATGGCTAGCTGCTCTTCCCACTCCTATTGATCCAACTTGTTTGCTGATCTGAAATTACAATCTTGCTCCGACTTCAATTGCTCCATGCTTATTTACTGGATGAACAATTCCTTCTGGAAAATTGTACGTTTATGAGTTTTGAAGCTTCTGTCAAAATTTCACGTCCATCCAATCACCGGTTGATTTATGGTGAATTTTCTCGCTGCACAGCGCAGAAAATCCGAGAGCAGTTTTTCAGAATTGCCTTCTCGCATCTTCGATTCTTCGATCTTCCTCCTCTCGGATTTCACCTCATATACTTCGATCTACTAAACACGTGGCACTAGACACGTAATAGTTAGATAAACGGAAGAACAAAAAGAAGGAAAGAAATACCGAAAGGATCGGCCGATTCCGGCGATATTCCGGCGACGACGGCGGTGGTGGCCGCGGGGAGATAGCCGAGAGAGAGAGAGAGAGAGAGAGAGAGGGAGCGGCTAGGGTTTAGTTCGTGTGTCTTAGTGCAAGACCTATAAATCAAGTATTTATAGTGTCTTGCATAAAACCCTAACGGGCTTAAGTTGGACCGGGCCCAACAACTTAAGTTCATTAGTTCTTTTACTTGCTCGTCTCTCTCAATTCAATGATCGGAAAACTGCAACGATTACATTTTCGGAATCATTATAATGTCCTCGTCATTACGAGTGCCAACTCTGGATTTCCAACTTTCCAAAAGTGGAAACCCTAATTCAGTGCAATTTCTAAATTTGGAAACTTCCCGATTTAGAAAGTCCACTAATACGTTTGCCTATTCTTTTCCTCTTCTTATTCGCATTCATAATTCCAAATTACGAATGTTGGACCCAATCATATTGACTTCCAATCATGCAAAGATAAACCATTTTATCTCTGACCGTTTATTCAAAGATCTCATGTGCACGAGCAGTGTGACCCTCGATGGTTCAGGTGTAAGCTAGCCGTGGGCCCACAACCCTTTGTGGTCAAAACTCGTCCCTTAGAGTTACGATTAAGATGAAGCTCGTTTCACCTTAATCACCCAACGAATCAAGATTGGCGTCTAGCAACTACGCGTCATAATTCCCTAGATACAAATGAAGTGTCTGCAAGAACCTTCAGATATAGTTAATGTACAGTACGATCCCTTCGATTCATATGTCCCGATTGAACTAGAGGCCTTGGTTCATCGAGACCTCTTTATCTGTTCAATGACCGTGCGATCGTTCTAAGTTTCGTAATCGTTACGTGCATGACTTAGAGAATCGAATCT